AGAATTATGAGATAAAAAATGTCGCAATTATCTTTTTTTTATTTGTTTTATTTCTGCGCCAGAAACAAGCTTCATAACTACAGTCACGAACTAAAGTACAGAACAGGAGTCATATCTGAGTTATAAACATGGAGAGACATTTATTCATAACAGGACAGAATGGAATAATTGTAATGTAATTAAAACTGTTTCTCCACTAACAGTTCCAGATTCATCATCACTGCATGCTCTTCCTCAGTGTTTCTGTCTCGTTTTACAGCACAAATATCTAAACATTCTTAAATCAAGACACAGTTACTGGAGAAGAAGCAAAATGACCCCATTGGGGTACTAAAAGCACAAGTTTTAGTCATAAACTCACTTCATTTTGATCTATTTCTCTTCTTTAGTAATTTCGCTTCTCCAGTAAAGTATTTAAGAATGTTTAGATATTTGTGCTGGAAAACGAGACAGAAACACTGAGGAAGAACATGTTGATCAAAAAGCAAATGGTTGATGATCTGATTGACATGTGTGTGTGTGTGTGTGTGTGTGTGTGTGTGTGTGTGTGTGTGTGTGTGTGTGTTGTGTGTGTGTGTGTGCGTGTGTGTGTGTGTGTGTGTGTGTGTGTGTGTGTGTGTGTGTAGCTTGCAGGAGCGTCAGGGAACTCAGTCTTGCTCACACAACAGGAGAGAGAGAGAATAGAGGAACTACTGAGAGATCTGGAGGAAGAACAGAGTGATCCTGAACTACTGACTGATCCTCAGGTACACACTCACACACACTCACACACACACACACACACACACACACACACACACACACACACACACACACACACAACAGGAGAGAGAGAGAATAGAGGAACTACTGAGAGATCTGGAGGAAGAACAGAGTGATCCTGAACTACTGACTGAACCTCAGGTACACACACACACACACACACACACACACACACACACACACACACACACACACACACACAACAGGAGAGAGAGAGAATAGAGGAACTACTGAGAGATCTGGAGGAAGAACAGAGTGATCCTGAACTACTGACTGAACCTCAGGTACACACACACACTCACACACACACACACACACACACACACACACACACACACACACACACACACACACACAACAGGAGAGAGAGAGAATAGAGGAACTACTGAGAGATCTGGAGGAAGAACAGAGTGATCCTGAACTACTGACTGATCCTCAGGTACACACTCACACACACTCACACACACACACACACACACACACACACACACACACACACACACACACACACACACACACTCACTCACACACACACACACACACAACAGGAGAGAGAGAGAATAGAGGAACTACTGAGAGATCTGGAGGAAGAACAGAGTGATCCTGAACTACTGACTGATCCTCAGGTACACACTCACACACACACACACACACACAAATGTATTAATTTAAACAATGTAATAATTTAAGGCAGAAACAATGAGCTCACTGAAGTAATGAATACTTGTTTGTTAACAAATGATTATGACACTTAGAAAATATATCATTGGTGCGTGTTGATTCAGAGTTTATCAAGATTAGAATTAGTTAATGGATCTTCTAAAAGTGTCGTATAAACATGTGATTCGCCAATGACAGAATCACATCTGCTCGTTTCCATCTCGGAACAAAAAGGACTGCGACTTTTTATCTCACAATCCTGACTTTTCTCCTTTCACGCCCGAGTTCAGATCTGACCTCATTATTGTGAGATACAGCTGAAACAAATATATTATAAAGACTCATTACATGGAACGTGAGATATTTCAAGCCTTTATTTGTCATAATTGTGATGATTATGGCTTACAGATATGAAAACCTTTTCACAATATTCTAATTTTGAATTTGGGGTTTTCATAAGCTGTAAGCCATAATCATCACAATTATAACAAATAAAGGCTTGAAATATCTCACTTTGCATGTAATGAGTCTATATAATATATTAGTTTCACCTTTTAAGTTGAATTACTGAAAAAAATGTCTAAAAATTCTAGTTTTTCGAGTTTCACCTGTATAAAGTCAGAATTATGAGATGAAAAATAATGAGTATTTTATTTCCCCGTGGCTTGTATGGTCGGTGTTGGTTCCTCCGGCTGAAGCGGTGTCAGGCTTCTGGTGTCGGGTGTCACTGGCTGGTGTTTACGAGCTCTCCGCCGCAGGAACTGGCCTCAGCGTCCTTCTTTCCTTTGCTAACCGTTTTCTGTAATTATTGTTGTGAAAGCGAGCGGGATCGCAGATGCTCTTCCCGACGGAAGCTTCCTGTTATTGCAGGAGCTGTGGATGTTCAGCAGATGTTTGATGTCGTTTGGACTCGCAGCTCATTTCTGACATAATGAAGTCTCTCTGTGTGTGTGTGTGCGTGTGTGTGTGACTCTTTTACCCTGAGAGACTGAGACGCACAGCGGGATCAGTCTGAAATATTCCAGTTCGGGAGTAAATCGTTCACCAGACGGAGAGAGCGACCGGAGTGGAGGAGAGATTTCTGTGACTGAAGTCCAACACGCTGCCGAAAGTCTTTTCATTCAAGTCTCGGGAAACCCTTGAAAACAGCCATATTTACAAAGAGTATACTTGAAAAGTGCTTGACTTATTTAAATACAATATACACTCACCGGCCACTTTATTAGGTACCCCATGCTAGTAACGGGTTGGACCCCCTTTTGCCTTCAGAACTGCCTCAATTCTTCGTGGCATAGATTCAACAAGGTGCTGGAAGCATTCCTCAGGGAGTTTGGTCCATATTGACATGATGGCATCACACAGTTGCCGCAGATTTGTCGGCTGCACATCCATGATGCGAATCTCCCGTTCCACCACATCCCAAAGATGCTCTATTGGGTTGAGATCTGGTGACTGTGGAGGCCATTTTAGTACAGTGAACTCATTGTCATGTTCAAGAAACCAATTTGAAATGATTAGAGCTTTGTGACATGGTGGAAGTAGCCATCAGAGGATGGGTACATGGTGGCCATAAAGGGATGGACATGGTCAGAAACAATGCTCAGGTAGGCCGTGGCATTTAAACGATGCCCAATTGGCACTAAGGGGCCTAAAGTGTGCCAGGAAAACATCCCCCACACCATTACACCACCACCACCAGCCTGCACAGTGGTAACAAGGCATGATGGATCCATGTTCTCATTCTGTTTACGCCAAATTCTGACTCTAACATCTGAATGTCTCAACAGAAATCGAGACTCATCAGACCAGGCAACATTTCTCCAGTCTTCAACTGTCCAATTTTGGTGAGCTCTTGCAAATTGTAGCCTCTTTTTCCTATTTGTAGTGGAGATGAGTGGTACCCGGTGGGGTCTTCTGCTGTTGTAGCCCATCCGCCTCAAGGTTGTGTGTGTTGTGGCTTCACAAATGCTTTGCTGCATACCTCGGTTGTAACGAGTGGTTATTTCAGTCAAAGTTGCTCTTCTATCAGCTTGAATCAGTCGGCCCATTCTCCTCTGACCTCTAGCATCAACAAGGCATTTTCGCCCACAGGACTGCCGCATACTGGATGTTTTTCCCTTTTCACACCATTCTTTGTAAACCCTAGAAATGGTTGTGCGTGAAAATCCCAGTAAGTGAGCAGATTGTGAAATACTCAGACCAGCCCTTCTGGCACCAACAACCATGCCACGCTCAAAATTGCTTAAATCACCTTTCTTTCCCATTCTGACATTCAGTTTGGAGTTCAGGAGATTGTCTTGACCAGGACCACACCCCTAAATGCATTGAAGCAACTGCCATGTGATTGCTTGATTAGATAATTGCATTAATGAGAAATTGAACAGGTGTTCCTAATAATCCTTTAGGTGAGTGTACGGTGTAAGTTGTATTTTGGATGCCTTATATCTGCAACTTATATTAAAAACTCTTAAAAAATACTAAAGATATTGTTCTATAAGTGCGATCTCTGATTGTAGTCCCTGAAAACCAAAAAGTAGTGCTTGAAAAGTCCTGGAACTTCGTTTTACAGTTTCTGTACGAACCCTGAGAGATTCACAGTAATAAACAGAATCAATAAACACAATCACTTCATCAGATATTAGACACATTCAAATTCTAGAAAGACAATAGTGTAATTATTCACATTAATTCAGTTCAAGTTTTGTTCATGAGTGATTAAAGCTCGTCTCTGACCTGTCAGTAATGTTTTATTGAATTTTAGGATAATTTCTGATTAACTCTGCAAACACACAGATCCTCTATCATTATTAAAGATAAAGCTTCTTTTTGATAATGTTGGCCAGTTGTTGAAGTCGATTGAAAGGGGAGTAGCGCTGGTCTTCTCTCCTCTATTGTGTCGTATATCGAGAGAAACGCTTCAGGAACAGAACACATGTGGGCGGGGCTTGACTGTGTCTGATTGGATGGTTGTGGTTTGCTATTGGCTGAGCTCATGTGAGTGACAGGTTATAGCCCCGCCCACATCATCAGAGAAGAGAAGTTATTCTGATTCAGGATTACAAACACAATAATGATGTGCACCCATAAATCATTTAGAAGAGTCAATTATGATATGGTGATTTTACAGTATGACTGCGGTCCGATATCCACACCTTCTGTTGGAGTCGCACTTAATCTGTTTCTTCTCAAGTTCTCAAGTAAACTGCTTATTTGTTCAGAGCTGGAGGATTGTGTTTCCAGCCAAACACTGATTGGTGTGTTTCAACATCCTGACACACAACCGGACACAATCATCACTGGAAATGATCAACAAGATACACAATTTACACAACATGAGCCGTTTATATTACAATAAATACACTTCGTTAGACAGAATAAACGTTACACAACAATCCACTCGTCTTTTATATAATAAGACTATAATAAACTCTGAATCTACACGCACCAATGCTACATTTTTCTAAATGTCATAATCATTTGTTAAGAAACAAGTATTCATGACTTCAGTGAGCTCATTGTTTCTGCCTTAAATTATTACATTGTTTAAATTAATACATTTCTAGCTAACTGTGATTTTGTATGTACATTTCTGAAATACACTAGTGGACTCATGCACTTTCTGTAAAGCTGCTTAAATGATGTGTGTTCTCGAACATGCAGTTCTGGAATGACCGAGTGGAAATAAGCAGCTAATATCATGTGGCTCGTAATCCTGAATCAGAATAACATCTCTTCTCTTCTCTGATGATGTGGGCGGGGCTATAACCTGTCACTCACATGAGCTCAGCCAATAGCAAACCACAACCATCCAATCAATTCCCCACAGACACAGTCAAGCCCCGCCCACATGTGTTCTTGTTCCAGAAGCGATTCTCTCGATATACGACACAATAGAGGAGAGAAGACCAGCGCTTCTCCCCTTTCATGAGGACTTCTAATCATTTTAAGATTAAAGTTTGAAAACCTTCCACTGATTTTGATAGAATGTTTGAGAACGGCATCATCATCATGTATTTATAGTTTGTCTCATCTTCTTTACATATATTTATGGTCCATTCAGTCATGTGACTTCTCTGCGACCTCCAACGATCAGCACTTTTTCTTAATATCTTTGTTCTTGTGTTTTTCAAGAGAAAAAGTCTTGACTAATGCAGATTTTCAGACCAAAACCTGACTTTTCTTGTACTGTCTAAGTTATGTATTTCAGAAATGTACATATATGCAAATCACAGTTAGCAAAAAATGTGCTAATTTAAACAGTGTAATAGTTAAAGGCAGAAAGGATGAGCTCATGTTGTTCCTCTGAGCTCGCTCGTTATATGGAGATCTGTAATGATCCTGCACGCGGGCAGCGGGACAAGGCTGACCTCACGCTCGCCGCTCGGCCTGATGGGAGATTTGCTCATTGGGAAACAGAAGGACATTAGTCAAGACTTAGATATTTGGCTTTAACGGGATGTTGGACGAGCGATCATACAGTGTGACGTCCAGAAGCAGATGCCAGGTGCAAAGCAAAAAATCTGTGACCGACATTGAAATAAAGGGAAAAAAGTGTTATTGAGAAGCTTTCAGTCGAGGTGAACTCAAGTTTGCTTCACGATATATAAAGCCTGCGGAAAATAATCCCGCTTTCCCTTGATTTAAGAAGATTTTTCTGACCCAGTTGGAAGATGGTCTTGTTTTAAGCACTAACTCACTTCATTTTAATACAGAAAACAAGACTTAAAGTCCCCCTGTGGTGTAAATCCAGCGTTTAATGTTGTTTATGTGTCTATGTGGTGTTTAATACGCTTTAAGACACACCGTGTGTAAGTTCATAAGTCGACAGCATTGCTGAGTATTTCCTCCTTAAAACTGCAGTGAACCAAAGACAGTCTCAAACACACGGTTTGAAATCGCTGGTGTTTCTGACGTCACAAACGACCTTGTAACCAATCAGATCAATGTGTGATCGTCAACCAGTGGATCTCTGAGCTGAGGGAGTGAGTGGAGGCGGGGCTCATTTGCATATTCATAGAACCACGCATACTAAATGAGGCGAGGGTGTCGAGTTACATTCAAGATATTTTAAGGCATTAAGACGTTTTTTTTCAAGGAAAAAAACGCTTAAATATGTAATTTCGGTGATTAAGGATGAGTTTTAAGGGATACAACTATTGACTACAGGGACTTTAATATCTTCAGTCATCTTGCGTTTTACAGTAAATGTGTCTTGAGTTACCGTAACCCTCTGGTGCGCTTCGCGCGTCGGTCAAAAGAGTTTTTTTTTTTTTTACTTTGATAATGTTTTTTATTTAATATTTTGTATTTGTAAGGGATTTTTTATATTCAATTATATTTACGCTGTATTTATAATCCATTTATTCACTTTTTGAGCATAGACCTGAAAATTAAATTTCCAACTTAAACTGTGGTAAATCTTGAACGCTTTAGAGCGACAGACTGAAGTTTGATCTCTTCTCAAACACGACACTCGGCAGATTATTGATGAGGTGAAAAAAGTGAACTTAAAAAAAGTTACAAAATTTTACGTGTATTGTTATGAAAAATGCACAAAAATACTATTTTGAATTCTGCATGTGTTCCGCATGTGAGTCTGATCCATAGACTGTAAAAAATATGGACAAAGCGTCTGTGACGTCACCCATAGACTTTCTGAAGAACGGTTTTGAGGCTGTTTATGGGGGGTATGGGCGGTGCCATCTTGGAAAATCTTACGATATTTCAAATACAAATGTTCAGAAAGGATACAGAGGTGGTGTGATGTGTTGTGTCAGATCATGGCCGAGACGTCAGATTTCAGGAATTCCACTCGGCGCAGCCCGTTATCAGCTGTCAATCACGCGCTTATTTGTCATACATTTTATATCTAAATACGATCTAAACTACCGAGTTAGAAAAAAATTCACCCCCCTCACAGTTGTCAGGCAATCGGGACCTATCCAAAAATACAATAAAAGTCCATGGGACCAACATGTAAACATACAAATTTATGCTGTGAAAACGGACATTTTAACATATGCGGTCTATGGATATTTGCTCCCTTTTGGGACCTCCCTCTAGCGGATTTTCGATGTATTGCAGTTTTTCGCACTTCCGGGTAGGCTTCATTTTTCAGATTAGAATGTTGCCGCTTGGTCTGATCTCAGTAGACGAGCGTTCAGTGAGTGTGTGTTCGGCTGCAGTTCCACACGCTTCCACTAGAGGAAACTCTCCTTAATTTCCAGTGCGTCGTTTCTGAGCGCGAGCAGCTCCAGTGGGACCAGTTAACCTGTTCAGATCATGGCCAGGGTGTGTGTGTGTTCACAGCAAGTGCCAAAACCTTTACCAAGTTTCGTACCATTCCGATAAAGTAAAAAAATTAAACCCCCTTCATTTGTGCTGGAAAAAAATTCTTGTTGTAGATCATTTTGATCAAGTCCGTGTTGATTATCACGTGACTCGTTTCTCTAACGCAGTTCTCCTGTGTGTTTCAGGCGTTCCCGTCGTCTCTCGCAGCCGGTGAAGGTTTCAGTCCCGACCCGTCTGAACTCCACAGTCTCCGCCACATCGACTCCAGGCTCCAGCTGCTACTTCCTGTTCATCACTTCCTGTCTGTGGGCAGCCGCTGTTCAGAACACACTCCGTCTCAGGTGCCGCCTGCTTTCACTGAGGTCCTCTTCACCTGTCTCGTCACTCGCATTCAGTGTTGGGTGTAACTAATTACTATTGAGGGTTTTCTGTTAGCGGCCCCTAAGTTAATAACTAGGGATTTAGAAAGTAATTAGTAACTAGTAATTAATTACTTGTTTAGAGTAACTTACCCAACACTTCTCTGCGGATCATTTATGGTGTTTGTGGAGTCAAGTCACCTTCATTTATACAGCAGTTTATATATGTATGTTATATATATGGAGCAGTAACAAACAGCAGTTTGATCTGAATCGTAATAAACCGATATTTAAAATACCCGCATCTGGAATGGATCTGTGTGATGTGGTCATGAGTACCAGTAGCTCATCTCCACACCAGGCCAAGGCTGGAGAAGGGTCGTAAATAATGAAACTTCGAGCTTCATCTCTGCTGTGATTCAGCCGCTGGAAACTCTGGCGAGAGCGTTCACTGGTTTCAGGAGTTTCGAGGACAGAGGCTTGAGTTTCTGTTGCTTCAGTCGCTCGCGTTCAGAACGAGTGAGAATCTCTAATTACCACCTAAACAACGAGCGGATCCTGTTTCTGCGCACACTGCATAAAGTGATGTTCTTCCTCAGTGTTTCTGTCGTGCACAAGTACCTAAATATTACTAAAAGTCCCCTGTAGTCAATCATTGTATCTCTTAAAACTCATCTTTAATCACCAAAATGACATTTAAATGTTTTATTCCTCTTTATGCTTTAAAATACCTTGAATGTAACTCGACACCCTCGCCTCATTTAGTATGCACGGCTCTATGAATATGCAAATGAGCCCCGCCTCCACTCACTCCCTCAGCTCAGAGATCCACTGGTTGACGATCACACGTTGATCTGATTGGTTACAAGGTCGTTTGTGACGTCAGAAACACCAGCGATTTCAAACCGTGTTTTTGAGACTGTCTTTGGTTCACTGCAGTTTTAAGGAGGAAATACTCAGCAATGCTGTCGACTTATGAACTTACACATGGTGTGTCTTAAAGCGTATTAAACACCACATAGACACACAAACAACATTAAACGCTGGATTTACACCACAGGGGGACTTTAAAATCAAAAGGCATTTACATGAGAAGCTAAGTGACTTAAGTCATTATATTAAGTCTAGTTTACTGAAAAATAAAGTGAGTTTGTGCCTAAAACAAGAACAGATATCTGGCAATGGAGTCAGAAAAATACACACGGTTTCCCTTTGAAATGAATTTTTCTGACTCTCTGACTTCTGACAAACTCACTTCATTTTTCAGTAAACAAGACTTAAATCAAGATACAAGCAAAATGACTTCAGATATTAAGAATGTTTAGATATTTGGACTGGAAACCAGAGTAACTCCAGAGTAAGAGTGTGTGTGTGTGTGTCTCGTGACTCTGGCTCTGCTCCTGCTTCCACGTCGGCGAACACGAGATCCTGTTTCAGAAGAGAAGCGCCGTCTCTGCAGTGAGAGCAGTCTGGGCCACACACCATTATAGCATTTATTAATCATTTGAATTCCTTTTTAGTTTTGTAGTTTTAGTAAATTTGCCATTTTTTATTTCTATATACACTACCAGTCAAAAGTTTTGGATTGGTAAGATTTTTAATGTTTTTAAAAGACGTCTCTTCTGCTCACCAAGCCTGCGTTTATTAGATTAAAAATACACAAAAAAACAGTAAAACAGTGAAATATTATTATAATGTAAATCAGCTGTTTTCTATGTGAATATACAGTAAAGTGTAATTTATTCCTGTGATCAAAGCTGATGTTCAGCATCATTTCTCCAGTCTTCAGTGTCACATGATCCTCCAGAAATCACTCTAATATGATGATCTGATGCTCCAGAAACATTTATGATTATTATCAGTGTTGAAAACAGTTATTTACATTTTTATTTCAGGATTCTTTGATGAATAGAAAGTTGAAAATAAAAAGCGTTTATTTGAAATAGAATCTTTAAGAAAGTTCAGCTTTAATCACAGGAATAAATTACATTTTAAAATATAACATTTTTAAATTATCATAATATTTAACAATATTACTGTTTTTTTTGTCAATATCAAATAAACACAGCCTTGAAGAGACAAAATCTTACCGATCCCAAACTTTTGACTGGTGGTGTAGCTTTAGATTATTTTTAAGTTTTTGTCATTTTAGTGCTTCGACTTATTCCAGTTCTATTCTAGATGCACGCATTTATAGAACAAACGTGTGTTTAGTGGTTGTGAGCGGCAGACGGTAGACCTGATGAACACACACGCGTGTGAGAACGAGCTGCAGTCTTTCCTTCACATCCCATGAACACTTTCAGTTTCTTACCAGTGCTTTAGACCATCACTGAGAACAGAGAGGTGTCAATCAAAGAGACGGAGCAGGAAGTGACATCAGGTCATCGCTACAAGAGCTGAAATTATCTAAATATATGCTTTATATTCAGATTTTTTATTTATTAAGTTTATTTGTATAGGGACAGTACAAAAAAACATGATCCCAGTCAAAACTGGAAAATATGTATTGCACATAGAGAGTATAGCAAGAGCTAATCTGCATCTCAGGTCCCTAGGAAGGCTTTTCTAATAAAAAAATAAAAAAAATACAATAAAAAAACTACGACTCATAGAATAAAACTACCACAATGTGTCACTTACAGACAATCAAATACCTACCTAAAATTATACATATCAGAAATGAGCTTACAACTCAAGCTTAAAACTTTAACATCACAATACACTTTTATGTTACATTACACTTTAATAAAAAATAAAAAAAAACTTTTACATTACATTACACTTTTACATACTAAAATGATTACATTTAAATATGCGTGCAGTTCTGGTTTATTTTAAACCACCGTTTTAACTTCAGTGTAAAGGACTTTATTTCAGGTATTACCTTAAACTAGTGGTTCTCAACGGGGGCGGTACCGCCGCCCAGGGGGCGTTCAGAGAACAACGGGGGGCGTTGGAAGCAAGATTTTTGAAAGGGGGGCGTTCAGGTGTTAATGGGGGGCGTTCATGAGTTTAAATATAACGCAAATTTTTGTTCATTTACTTTTATTAATTTTAAGCATTTAATAATTTATTTGTAATAAACACTTTAAGTGGGCTATTTATATGTAAAATTATGTTGTAAAACATATGCGCAGAACGTGAGGTCATATTGTGTGTGCGCGTCTATGGTGCACGTAGAAAAATTCGTCAGCACAGCAGCCTCTCAAAAAAAAACAAAAAAAAAACATTCGTCCACTCTACTCCTGACCGCAAGTCCACCGTCATTGTTGTAGGTAGGCACTATGCAGTTTTTTTTGTGTTCATTTCTATTGCATTACCATTGAAAGCAGTACCAATAATGTCAAAAATATGATGTGCAGTCAAGTTTGGGTGTGTGTATGCTGTTTAAATGAGTGTTCTCACCGATACGCTTGTTGTGATTAGCGGAGTTTTGACGAGTTGTATTTTGACGACTAGAATCCAGCGCTGAGTACAATCATGCAGCGGAGTAATGGAAAGTTGACAAGCCATTAAAAAGTATTGACTTAAGAAACACTTATTTTCAATAAATCATGTTCCCATTCACACTAAATTCTATTTATAAGGTAAAACTTTTTAAAAAAAAAAACATTTTTAGTCATTATCAACCCCAATGCCTAATGCCAAAATGTTTTATTTGTTCACCAAGTAATTTACTGGTCAGAAATTTTTTGTTAACTCGCAAGACAGTAAGGAGAAAATGACAATTTGATGGATAATTTAAATATATTCTGTTTTCACATTTTGGTAATGTAATAATTCCGCCATCACATCTGAGCGCGAAACGCTGCTTGGATAGTTTCAAGATAGTTAAAAAATAATTAATAATACAATAATAATTGAATTTAATTTAATTAATCATATGTGTTTATTCTTGTTATTTTTTTTTTACTGATTATGAACACAAATTAATCACGACAAACCAAATTAATTGTATTAATTATGCCATTGATGAAAACCAGCTGATACCAAGGTATTTTAGGCCTACAATTCTAACATAATTTTTCATGAAAATCAGGATTGTATTTATTTTTCGAAAGTAAGGTTAATGTAAGTAGCTTCTTGCAATACTCTCCTAAATGAGTAATAAAACCTGCATCCAAACATTACCGCTTTAATGACCGTCCTTTATTTTTCAGTGCATTTGTTTTACAAATATATATTACTGTCATGGGATTAATATTATAACTCTGACCTGGATATTGGATAGGGGGCGCTGGCCCAAAAAAGGTTGAGAACCACTGCCTTAAACTCATTTGGCAGCAGGTTCCAGAGTTTGGAGCGCTCTACAGAAAAGGCTCTTTGCCCTTGTGTAGTCTTACGAAAGTTAATCCTACAATTACCACCTGCCGAACTCCTAGTGATTCTATTTGTATCATCCTGTCTCTTTATCAATGTACATAAGACTGATGGTGCCTTATTGTGCAAACATTTAAAAATCAATTTTATATATGACAGGTTCTTAAAACTCGCAAAACTTAGCATATTCGTTTTTTTTAAAACATTGCAGTGATTCCATTGATTTGGCTTTTTATCCATTATTTTTAGAGCTCGATTATATAACATTTCAATTTTTTTTATTAAGGAATCACTTGTTTGAGTCCAAACTGTAATACAGTATGAAATGCGGGAGAATATCATTGCATGCATAAACAAACAGGGCCGGCTCTAGACTCACTCTATAGTCACTCCAAAACTTCAATAAGCAAATTATGACTTGAACTGTAATAAATTGTTTATACAAATGCTAAAAAAGAACGTTCAAGGATATTTCAATCATCCTACATAGTTGCATTGTTTAAATACATATTATCTGACCATGTAACTTGTAGTAGATAAATTACAATTACTACCACCACTACTATTATTACTAATCCATTAGGCTGCTAAAAGGCTAGGGGGGTACGGGGGCACAAAATTTTGTGCATTTTAATGTTAAATTCATCAATCTGGTGCACTTTGAGAGTTCAAAATTAAAAGCTCCAACCCATATTCAGTGTTCAAATTAAACAAAGAAAAATTAGTGTCTGTCTACATTACATAATAATAGTTATAATATTAATCCCATGATAATACTCATTGTAAAACAATGCACTGAAAAATAAAGGAAACTTTCATAAGTTTTGTACTAATTTCTATACTAATAGAAAGAGTATTTTTCTGTACTTCACTTTAAAGATGTGATTGGGCCAGCCCAGTGTCAATCAAGAAAACAACCAATGGGCCGCTGATCTACGCGTTTCATGCGGTGTCAGAAAAATAGCTTTTTTTTTACCAATGCATTACACCAGCACTAACCCAGCGCCGCCGATTAAGCAAAACAAAACGAATGGGCTATTTCTATTTTAGCCCCCGGACGCTTTTTTGCTTTATCTATCTTTTTCGACGACAACTCACTACTCGTGCCTGTTCGCTCCGCGCTCACGGTGCCCGCGCCCGCTCGCGATATTATTGGACGGGGGTCCCCTGTCAAAATTATATGATGAAATCTTATGAGGGCGCCTACTCCGCTACACATACCGGTATACCCACTTTTTGCGCCACTGGCAGGCTTATGTAATTGCTCCACTCGTTGCAGTGTTAATGAAGTACAATAAAAGCGGAAAGTTCCTTACGCGGCTCTGGCAAGGCGCTTGCGCCCTTAGCATTTGCCTATACTGCCTATGCCACGGGCCGGCCCTGCACTGTATATATCGCAGGCTATAATGCTAATTTAAATGTGTCATGAAAATTCGGCCATCCGTCACAAAGGTAACTTTCACCGTGTCTAGACCTGGCGTGAGCTGCCAGGCCCGTTTCTAGTGCTTTAGTGTGTTAAGCGCCCTCAAACGAAAGCTATGCTGTCAACATTGGATGCGACAAAGGGGCGACGCTACACAACAAATGACCAACAGTAAACTGATCGCGCGCGCGCTCTACTCTTGTTTCTGACGCACTTCAAGCACTCGCTGGGCAGGGGAAGATTGATGCGCTGGACCGGAGTCGGGGGACTTAGTTAAGTTTTTGTGGAGTTGGTTTGCTTTATTTTGTAGTATTTCGAATTAATGGTTTTAAAATAGTATTAGTAAAAAAAAAATCAAAAAAAAAAAATCACTCGTTCACTCATATTGGCGCCCCTATTGAGTGGTGGCGCCCTTAGCATTTGCCTATACCGCCTATGCCACGGGCCGGCCCTGTAAACAAATGTGCTGCCTCAATTAAGATATAATTTCTAATAAGTCGGAAACAATTTAGATTAATCCTTACCATTTTTGAGAGCTTTTTTATGTTTATCAAATTTAAGTTGTGAGTCTAAAACAACACCTAAAAAATTAAACTCATCTACCTCCTCTATTTCTTTGTTATTTACTCGAATTATTACTTTTTCTTTTTGCTTACGATTAGAAAAGCACATAAAGACAGTTTTCTTAACATTCAGAGTTAGATGATTTTCCTGGAGCCATGTAGATATCCTTTCCATTTGTTCATTTAAAACTGCAGCAACCTTGGCAGATGACTTAGCCGATGTGTAAATAACTGTGTCATCTGCATAAAGCTAACATTCAACATCTGGACAACAACAAGCTAGGTCATTTATAAACAAACTGAAAAGCAAGGGGCCTAGAATTGAACCTTGTGGTACGCCCATTTTGTTTCTTATAAACAATGATTTCGTATTATCAATTTTGACACACTGATCTCTGAACCACTCAATTGAACGTTTACTAAAATTAAATGCACTTGATTTAGATAAAAGAATAGTGTGGTTAACTGTGTCAAATGCCTTTTTTAGGTCAATGAATACTGCTCCCATCACAAGTCCCTGACCCAAAGAGTGTCTCGCTTTTTCCAAGAAATAGCATATAGCTGTTTCGGTGGAATGCTGGGCTCTAAAACCAAATTGATGTTTATGTAGGAAATTATTACTCTCTAGATAGTTTATTAATTGTTCAGCCACAACCTTCTCCAAAACCTTTGACATAACCGGCAAGATTGATATTGGTCAATAACTTGTAATCAGGCTTGGATCCCCTGATTTAAAGAGCGGTGTAACCAGTGGCGTAACTATCGGTAAGCAGGGTACGCGGTTGCTTACGGGCCCGGACCAATCAGGGGCCCGCTTGACTGGAAGATATTGATTGACAGCCGGGGCCCCCTATCGCATATTACTACTTTTAGTTTGATCGCATTTAACTTTATCACGATTTTGTTTTAAATAAATAATGACAACAACATATTTTACAGATCATTAAATACATGTGTGAAACGAACAATCATGGATTTTGGTGTAATTTGTTTTGAGCTGGGACTGGGGAATCCCCGGGTCGGCTGTTTAACGTTACACGCGCGCGCCACTTCATGCGTTTTCTCAGATCGGATAGCTACTGATTTATCAAAACGATTCCATTTAGAGCTGGTCACATAAATGTGTTTTTGCAAAACAGATATAAATCCGATCTTCAATTTCCGCGCTATATGCAGATTTAATAGAGTTCACGTCACCGAAAGCAACAGATAAGCTGCATTTTATTGATCATCAGCTAAAATTTCTAAATCGAAGACCGCAATTAGAGAGAGCGGCAACAGTACTGGTAAGATCATTTCGTTTCTTTACTTTTTATGAAGATGATTGTGTGTTAAGCGAGCGTCTGCGACTTACTTTCACTTTGATTTGCGATAGTTTGTGCGTTGGCTTGATGAATAGATGCTCATCTGCGGTGATGCGTGTTGTTGCAGAAGCGTCGTCATTTCTGACTATGACATATAGCCTATAACACGCTCTCACACGTTTATTTTTTTAGCATTTTTAGAGGAGTAAAATTGACATATGTGGTTTCAACAACCAGATGCATTTACACTTGTCCAGTGTCGTCTGGAATGCGGCCCAGACCTCCTCCTGAAGTGGTTTGAGCGACCGGATTCAAATCCGTCTCGAATGCGTTTCGAAATTTACACCTGGTCTTTTCACGATCGGATAGCTATACGATCACAGAAAAAGCATGAAGTGGCCAGGTGTAAACAGTTCCTTGCGTATTGCATGCAAAAGCCCACTCGTGGACATTGCGTCATCACGTGTTGTAGTAGGGGGCCCGCCTTGATAATCCTGCATAAGGGCCCGGTGTTGGCTCGTTACGCCACTGGGTGTAACTACAGCCTTTTTCCATGTATTGGGGAAAACACAGTCTCTAATTGATACATTTGTCAGATGAGTTAACGGACCTATCATCACTGAGCTATATTTTTTTTTATCAAATTAATATCTAAATTGTAAACATCTTTTGCTGTTTAATTCGGTAGAAGCTTTACAATTTCAGTTATTCTTTTTTCTTCAATCTCCTTAATAAAAAATGAATTTGGTAGCTCATCCTCCACCTTACTATCTAATGGTATTAGTTTAAAATTTTGAGCCAATTCATCTACTGAACTTATAAAATATGTATTAAACTCATGTGCTAGAAAACTTTTATCATCAATTACTTTTCCATCTATTTGTACCTCTTTAATTGTTTGCTGCTTTTGAGTTTTATTTGTTAAATTATTTCATTGTTTCCATAGGGTTGAGCTTTGAATTTTGCATTCTCTATTATTTGTGTATAATGTGATACTTTTGACTTCCGTAATTCTTGTACTACTTTATTTCTGAGACTTTTATAGATTAAAATATCTGTATTTAATTTAGAGGATAAAGCCATTTTTAAAGCCAGGTCTCTTTTTTTCATAAGATTACGAATATCACTATTTATCCATGGTAATGATACATTTTTCCTTGTATCATATGTGACACGTATATATATCTCTGTGCATTTCAGGAGGAGAATCATGTTCATTTCATTCATTAAGTGCTGTAAAGTCAACATACACACACACATGAAACACCACACACACACACACACGCTACTCCTGTCCGTATTCAGCATTCAGCCGCTTGGTCTGCATGTAACTTTGATTTATCGGCTCGGCTTTTAATCTTACTATAAGTTTTATGTGTGTTTGAGACTTCTCTCAACCTTTTGCCACACATGACTCCGAATCAAATCAACCCGAAACTTCACTTGTAATTAAATTATTCCACAAAATGTCGTTTTCCATTTGTTTTTTAGTTACTCTGGAAATGAAATCTCATGACTGTTCTTTAGGGGAGTCTGGAGGAGGACGCCGGTGACCGAGTCCTGTGGGACGCGAGATTGAGACGAGAAGAAGAGAAACGCCTGAGAGAAATCCAGCAGGAGCTGCAGATCCTGGAGGAGAGAAGCGTGAGTTCAGACGATTCATTCGACTCATTCAGACTCAGACGACTCATTTAGACCCAGACGACTCAGTTCATGAGTTCCTACCATTCAGACTCAGACGACTCTGTTCATGAGTTCAGTCCAATCATTAGACTCATTCAGACTCAGACGACTCAGTTCATGAGTTAATACGACTCATTCAGACTCAGTTCATGAGTTCAGACGACTCATTCAGACTCAGACGACTCAGTTCATGAGTTCAGATGACTCATTCAGACTCAGACGACTCAGTTCATGAGTTCAGACGACTCATTCAGACCCAGACGACTCAGTTCATGAGTTCAGACGACTCATTCAGACTCAGACGACTCTGTTCATGAGTTCATACGACTCATTCAGACTCAGATGATCCAGCAGGAGCTGCAGATCCTGGAGGAGAGAAGCGTGAGTTCAGACGATTCATTCGACTCATTCAGACTCAGACGACTCATTTAGACCCAGACGACTCAGTTCATGAGTTCATACCATTCAGACTCAGACGACTCTGTTCATGAGTTCAGTCCAATCATTAGACTCATTCAGACTCAGACGACTCAGTTCATGAGTTAATACGACTCATTCAGACTCAGTTCATGAGTTCATACGACTCATTCAGACTCAGACGACTCATTCAGACTCAGTTCATGAGTTCATACGACTCATTCAGACTCAGACGACTCAGTTCATGAGTTCATACGACTCATTCAGACTCAGACGACTCTGTTCATGAGTTCATACGACTCATTCAGACTCAGACGACTCAGTTCATGAGTTCAGACGACTCATTCAGACTCAGACGACTCATTTCATGAGTTCAGACGACTCATTTAGACTCAGACGACTCAGTTCATGAGTTCATACGACTCATTCAGACTCAGTTCATGAGTTCATACGACTTATTCAGACTCAGACGACTCTGTTAATGAGTTCAGACGACTCATTCAGACTCAGACGACTCAGTTCATGAATTCATACGACTCATTCAGACCCAGACGACTCAGTTCATGAGTTCATACGACTCATTCAGACTCAGTTCATGAGTTCAGACGACTCATTCAGACTCAGACGACTCAGTTCATGAATTCATACGACTCATTCAGACCCAGACGACTCAGTTCATGAGTTCATACGACTCATTCAGACTCAGTTCATGAGTTCAGACGACTCATTCAGACTCAGACGACTCAGTTCATGAGTTCATACGACTCATTCAGACTCAGTTCATGAGTTCAGACGACTCATTCAGACTCAGACGACTCAGTTCATGAGTTCAGACGACTCATTCAGACTCAGACGACTCAGTTCATGAGTTCAGACGACTCATTCAGACTCAGACGACTCAGTTCATGAGTTCAGACGACTCATTCAGACTCAGACAACTCAGTTCATGAGTTCAGACGACTCATTCAGACTCAGACGACTCAGTTCATGAGTTCAGACGACTCAGAAGACTCAGAAGACTCAGTTCATGAGTTCAGACGACTCATTCAGACTCAGACGACTCAGTTCATGAGTTCAGACGACTCATTCAGACCCAGACGACTCAGTTCATGAGTTCAGACGACTCATTCAGACTCAGACGACTCAGTTCATGAGTTCAGACGACTCATTCAGACTCAGACGACTCAGTTCATGAGTTCATACGACTCATTCAGACTCAGTTCATGAGTTCAGACGACTCATTCAGACTCAGACGACTCTATTCATGAGTTCATACGACTCATTCAGACTCAGACGACTCAGTTCATGAGTTCAGACGACTCATTCAGACTCAGACGACTCAGTTCATGAGTTCATACGACTCATTCAGACTCAGTTCATGAGTTCAGACAACTCATTCAGACTCAGACGACTCTGTTAATGAGTTCAGACGACTCATTCAGACTCAGACGACTCAGTTCATGAGTTCAGACGACTCATTCAGACTCAGAAGACTCAGTTCATGAGTTCAGACGACTCATTCAGACTCAGACGACTCAGTTCATGAGTTCAGACGACTCATTCAGACCCAGACGACTCAGTTCATGAGTTCAGACGACTCATTCAGACTCAGACGACTCAGTTCATGAGTTCATACGACTCATTCAGACTCAGTTCATGAGTTCAGACGACTCATTCAGACTCAGACGACTCTATTCATGAGTTCATACGACTCATTCAGACTCAGACGACTCATTTCATGAGTTCAGACGACTCATTTAGACTCAGACGACTCAGTTCATGAGTTCATACGACTCATTCAGACTCAGTTCATGAGTTCATACGACTTATTCAGACTCAGACGACTCTGTTAATGAGTTCAGACGACTCATTCAGACTCAGACGACTCAGTTCATGAATTCATACGACTCATTCAGACCCAGACGACTCAGTTCATGAGTTCATACGACTCATTCAGACTCAGTTCATGAGTTCAGACGACTCATTCAGACTCAGACGACTCAGTTCATGAATTCATACGACTCATTCAGACCCAGACGACTCAGTTCATGAGTTCATACGACTCATTCAGACTCAGTTCATGAGTTCAGACGACTCATTCAGACTCAGACGACTCAGTTCATGAGTTCATACGACTCATTCAGACTCAGTTCATGAGTTCAGACGACTCATTCAGACTCAGACGACTCAGTTCATGAGTTCAGACGACTCATTCAGACTCAGACGACTCAGTTCATGAGTTCAGACGACTCATTCAGACTCAGACGACTCAGTTCATGAGTTCAGACGACTCATTCAGACTCAGACAACTCAGTTCATGAGTTCAGACGACTCATTCAGACTCAGACGACTCAGTTCATGAGTTCAGACGACTCAGAAGACTCAGAAGACTCAGTTCATGAGTTCAGACGACTCATTCAGACTCAGACGACTCAGTTCATGAGTTCAGACGACTCATTCAGACCCAGACGACTCAGTTCATGAGTTCAGACGACTCATTCAGACTCAGACGACTCAGTTCATGAGTTCAGACGACTCATTCAGACTCAGACGACTCAGTTCATGAGTTCATACGACTCATTCAGACTCAGTTCATGAGTTCAGACGACTCATTCAGACTCAGACGACTCTATTCATGAGTTCATACGACTCATTCAGACTCAGACGACTCAGTTCATGAGTTCAGACGACTCATTCAGACTCAGACGACTCAGTTCATGAGTTCATACGACTCATTCAGACTCAGTTCATGAGTTCAGACAACTCATTCAGACTCAGACGACTCTGTTAATGAGTTCAGACGACTCATTCAGACTCAGACGACTCAGTTCATGAGTTCAGACGACTCATTCAGACTCAGAAGACTCAGTTCATGAGTTCAGACGACTCATTCAGACTCAGACGACTCAGTTCATGAGTTCAGACGACTCATTCAGACCCAGACGACTCAGTTCATGAGTTCAGACGACTCATTCAGACTCAGACGACTCAGTTCATGAGTTCATACGACTCATTCAGACTCAGTTCATGAGTTCAGACGACTCATTCAGACTCAGACGACTCTATTCATGAGTTCATACGACTCATTCAGACTCAGACGACTCCCCCCCCCTCAGTGCTAGTAAAGCAGGGTTTTCTGTCTGTCAGATGTTTAGTCTGAAGCGCTGAGTTCCTGTCGACAGTGTGGAGAGACAGACGGCAGAGCTGCGGAGACTGTCTGGTGTGAACGACTGATTTATGATCAGAAGATCTGCAGTATTTCTCTGTATTTCCACTCAACTTCATAATGATGTCACTCAAAGAACGCAAGATCCAAAATGTGATCTAGATTATAGATGAAGTTGTATTGAAAAATGATCTAAATACTCTCTAGGTTATTAACCCGGTCATGTGATCATAGGTCATCGTTTACTCTCTCTCCTTCATCTGTGTGTCCGGATCTAAACACACACTACTTCACTAGAGTGTGAGTGTGTGAGAGTGTGTGAGAGTGTGTGTGTGTGTGTGTGTGTGTGTGTAACAGCCGTCGTGTTGTATCTGGTTGTCCAGCTGCTCATGTCCTGCTCCTCCTCTCAGGCGTCGTGTCTGTCGGAGGATGATCTGAGGAATCTCCTGCTGGAGTGTGAAGACGAGCTCCTCCGATCTCCTGCTCCCGGGACGCCTCCAGCTGACGCACCGAGGGACTCAACACTGGGATAACACGGAGAAGCAGGCGTGAAATATGAGGAAGAATGTTCTTCTGTTTTATATTTTGCAAAATGCTTTTAAAGTTGCACAATAAGTGCATGAAAGTGTGTTTGTCATTGTGTGTCTGATGTGTTTGCCAGCGTCAGTATCTCAATCCGACTGAAGAACACATGAAATGGAATGTAAGTGGAAAAAAAATAAAATGTTCCTTTTCAAAAATCAAACCAATATGTCTTTTTATTCATGTCATGAGCTTTTGATTAAACCCCCTAAAAAATGTATGGATCAAATCCATCTGAACAGTCTGACCTTGTTCTTTTCTTTCCTCATAAACGGGTTAGAGAACCCGAGATAACCTTGAGTTATGGCTCATAAACGTCACACGTACATACACTACTGTTCAAAATACATGTTTTTAAAGAAATTCATTTTATCCAGCATTAAATTGATCAAAAATGCCAAGATTTCTAATTCAAACGAATGCTGCTTCAAAATTTGTTCATCAAAAAATCCTGAAAAATTAAATTTATTAATAAATATTCCTCATAAATCTGAAGCATCGCAACTGTTCAACACTGATAATAATCATAAATGTTTCTTGAGCATCAGATCCTCATATTAGAGTGATTTCTGGAGGATCATGTGACACTGAAGACTGGAGAAATGATGCTGAAATTCAGCTTTGATCACAGGAATAAATTACACTTTACTGTATATTCACGTAATAATATTTTTTTTATAAATGCAGCCTTGATGCTCTTCGGTCATTTTTGACAGAAACATTTTACGTTTTTTTTATTTTTTTTATTTTTTTTTTTATACTTCATCGGGATGGTACAAAACTTGGTAAAGGTTTTGGCACTTGCAAAAAAAGTTACAGAATTTTACGTTTATTGTTTTAAAAACTGCACAAAAATACTATTTTTAATTTTTCCAAGTTTTTCTAAAAGAGATCAAACTTCAGTCTGTCGCTCTAAACGTTCAAGATTTACCAGTTTAAGTAGGACATTTATTTTCAGGTCTATGCTCAAAAAGTGAATAAATGGATTATAAATACAGCGAAAATATAATTTAGTAACAAAATACAAAATATTTAATAAAAAACATTATCGAACTATAATATAGTGCAATCATTTCATTGAAATAAAACTTTTTTTGTTGTTGACAAAAGTCGTGTCCCGAGATGAAATGGTACATATGAAATGTTGTATGCCGAGGGTAACGTGAGTCTCAGTGTCCGTGCGCGTGAATGTGCCGTGCGCGTGAATGTGGCGTCGTGTTCATACGGACGTGTTTCAGCGACTCCGGCATTCCCAGCATTCCTGACCTTGAAGGTGAACCGTGCGTTTGTGGATAAACGAACCCAGGATTAACTGTGAAAGATTGAGACGATATAAGAATACTCTTTTGACCAAATTAGCCTTTATTGTACCAGTAACCATAAACCAAACCACAGCCACAGACCCTAGAATTAAAATCCACTGGATTTCTAGGTAAACATTGAGATTTATAGTGTAAAATCAGGCCTTCTGACTGTAATTAAGCTGAACACGTCATAGAAATATGTAATTTTAGCTGATTCTGGAGTTTAAAGTTACTGTGAAAGCCCTTATTGTCATTTTTACTCAAAAGTTTTTATTGCGATTTTACAAAATTATAAGAATTTAACAACATTATTGAATAAAACCGGTAACAATACTGACATTGAAGCATCCATAAAAACAAAGAAAATCCTCATCAGTGTGCAAACAGTTTATACAAATTCTTCCAATGTCAGGTTACAGTTCATTATAAATTATTTAAATAGCATATATCTACACATTAAAATAGAAAAAAAGAAACATTACCAATAACTTACTTTAAAAAAGACATCAATTAGGCACAAACTATTTATATTAACAACTTTACTGGGGCATCTCGTCTAAAATAAAAAAAATGTTGTATTATTTACAGAAGAAATGTTTCACTACCTACAGTAGCTCTAAAACAACACAGAACTGACTTATAAATGGCACTAATATCATTTGTAATTTTTGTTGAGTTCAATTCTAGAACAGTGAGGTAATATTGGTGTTTACATGAATTGAGCTCCTCCTGGCCTGAAGGAGGCGCTCTCAACGCTCCAGTTGTTCTGTGTGTGTTTCAGTAATAAGTGGCTCTGAGACGACGTCTCCTCTCAACACTATAAATAAACCACAGAAGTGCGCCTCTGTGATCTCTCAACTTCCTTTTTCATTTATGCTTGTTTAGAACCAGAAAAACTCTGAAGCTCATCTGTGTATTAATCTAAGACATGAACTTTGAACACAAAGATCCTTCTAGCCCTGAGAAAGCCTCCACTCTATAAACAGTGAAATTAAGACTCTGTGGTTCTGATTGAAAGCAGAAGGGGGCGTTTATGGAAAAGCAAGCCTGAATCATCGAGTCCTGAAGATCTGGATGTCTCAATGACAAAGATCACGAAGTCTGTCGATCCTGTGCATCAACGGTTCCTCCTGTGGGATCTCGAAGCCAGCAGAATCAACCCAGGAGAAGCTTTTCCTTCAGTTCATAAGCGACTCGTTTCTGCCGTGATCGTAGTCCACAGCAGATCTGAGGTGACGTTACAGAAGAGCTTCCCTTTACCCACCAAATGACAAGAAACAAGAAACTGACTGAGAATCCCATTGAGATTGGAGGAGATCGATGAGATGAAAAGTGATGCTGGATCTGGATTGACAGTTTTTGTCCTCCTGGATCCCACCACAGAAGAGAGTTATAACACATTTAAACCGACAGAAAACAGAAGATAGCGGGCCGTCCTTCGGGAAAACAACGACGGGGTCGTTATACATCTGCAAGAGAGTGGAAAAACACTCATGAGCTTTGCTAGAACAACATTAAGAGCAATATTATTCTTTAAAGGTGACATATTATGCCTCTTTTCACAAGATGTATTATAACTCTATGGCGTCCCCAGAATGTGTGTGTGAAATATCAGCTCAAAATACCAGATCATTTATTTTATCTTGTCAAATTTGCCCCTTTTTGGGTGTGAGCAAAAACTTGTGTGTGTCCCTTTAAATGCAAATGAGCTTTAGCTCCGCCTCCGTTCAGAAGAGGGCAGGGCTTCAGAGACTCCGGCAATAACAACACAGGCCGATCTCACTGATCCAGAGTCAGGAGTAACAGCAGCGAGTGCAGCCTTACGGAGAGACTCAGGGAGAGCTTCACTTTTACACGTTTCTGAATGTTAGCGGAGACATTTCTGTAGTTGTTGTGGAGTTACACTGATCATCTCCTCATCATGTTGAACTCTTCCACAAGTGTCCACAGTTCCTGAGGTGTTTATAAGACAGCGGTGACATGTTCTGGTCAATAGTGTTCAGTGTCGTCTGTGCTCGACCACAGAACAGTTTCAGGCTTTGCTGGATCTTCTCCAGTGCGTTAGAACTGGTCTCTGTTGGCGCTCGCCGAACCCAATGTCGCTGGTGTGTGTGAACGTGCAGATTAAGGGACGGTAATATTATAATAAGATCCTCTTCATACGTCAAGAGGAGTGAAATCAGATCGGCTTATTTTTTGTCATGCTCTCAGAGAAAGTTACAAAGTCACTGGGTTTCACTAGTTTTCACGTTTGGTAGATGCACAGGACCCGATTATAGCACTTAAACACGTAAAAAGTCAGATTTTCATGATAATTCCCCTTTAAAACCATCTAAATGAGTTACCTCTGCATTCGTATTTGAGGTCTGAGAAGTAAACCATCTCTTGAGAGAAGACGAAGAGGCCAAGTCTTCCTCCAGCGTATGTCATGTCATGAATGCTTCCTGAATCAGCCATGACTCTCTTGCCCTCATACATAATAACTCTGGAAAGAAACAAAAGAAGAGGAGTGAGTAAAGCTGCTTTAGCTGTTGGTTAGTAACCAAGACCAATCTTGATATAAGTGAATCCACACTTACCTGATGTGTCCGGTTTTGGGTCTGTGGATCAGGTGCCATCTGTAGGCAGTGTAATCCTTCCAGCCAATGTTCTTGGGGTCGTGCCAAAGGGTGCGCACCTGCAAACGGTCCGAAATAAGATGAGCGGACATTTAAAAAAAAACAAAATCACTTGGACATTCAGCTTGAGACTGATACATACTTGTCCTTCGGTGTCTCCAGTGTGCCACAAAGCGTTCCTGAGATGTTCGCCCGGTCCCGTAGTGGAGTTCACAACTTTAATAGACAGTCCAGAGTAACCCTGGGCTTTGGTGGGCGTATGAGACCAGTAGGTCTGAGTGATCTGCTTCCACATCACCACATAGAAACGCGAGCTGGATTGGTAGCCAAACACAAAGCCGACATAGTCGTCGTCACGGTCCGTGTTGATGAAGAACGTGCCGCTGAAGTCCACGGCGTTGAACTCATCATAACCTGAGGAACAAGAAGAAGAACATTAAAGGATTAGTTCAGAATTACAATCTCCTGATGATTTACTCCACGTCTTCCAAGATGTTCATGTGTTTCTTTCTTCAGTGGAAAAGAAATGAAGGTTTTTGAGGAAAACACTCCAGGGTTTCTCCATATAGTGACTCCAACGGGTCGAAGGTCCAGATGTGAGTTTCAGTGCAGCTTCAAAGTCTCGACACGATCCAGCCGAGGAATAAGAGTCTTATCTAGACAAACCAGCGTTCATCGAAGAAAGAAAGACATGAACATCTTGGATGACGTCTGGGAGAGTAAATTATCAGGAAATTTTACTTATGAAGCGAACTCCTCCTTTAACCCATTGATGTAGAAGAACACGTTCATCGAGAGCCAGTGTCTCTCAACCACTTACCGACAGCAATGCCGGGATCACAGTTGACGGTCTGCAGGAGCTCTTTGCCCTGGTGACGGACGACCCAGTTGGGGTCAATTTGGGAAGTTCCAGTGGGATCAAGGGGAACCATCTGGAATCTGCGGAAATCTGTTTCACTGATGGCAAAGTTCTCCGGGCAAACATCAAAAATATCTGGCACGTTATCTTGGTCAAAGTCGTCCTTGCAAACGTCACCTCGGCCATCGCCTGGACAGGAGAAAAGACGGTTATTCTTGCACGAATTTGGATTTTACAGAAAATGAACTTAAATCCACGCCAGTGTGTTGGACTCACCGTCCGAATCCAGCTGATCTGGGTTGAAGGCGAGTCTGCAGTTGTCTTTGTCGTCAGGGACGCCGTCATTGTCATCGTCATGATCGCAGGCGTCTCCTTTGCCGTCCTTGTCGTGGTCGGCCTGGTTGGCGTTGGGGATGTAGGGGCAGTTGTCAAGGTTGTTCTGATGTCCATCCTCATCGATGTCTTGGTTGCTGTCACACTTGTCTCCAACGTTGTCAGAGTCCGAGTCAATCTGTGACATCACATCGATTAATGTCAAGTCAAGTCACATTTATTAATACAGCGCTTTTTACAACACAGAGTCTTAGAGCAGCTTTACAGAGATAACAGGAAAATAATGCAATAAAGTTTGTTTCCGGAAGAGAATAGCGTCACAGTCCAGCTTAAGTCAGTTCAGTGATGCTTCATTGTTGTTGTAAAAGTCATCGTCCAGCTCAGTTCAGTTCTCATATAATGCTGTCAATGCAGGAGAGCAATAATATTGTTGAATATTAAATTAAATGTCCCCAACTAGTCAAGCCAAAAGCCAATGGCAACAAAGGAGAAAATGCAAGCCTTCATCATCTGCTGTTCATGGTTTCACACTCGGGTCTTAAAGCATGTTGAAGCAACTCACCTGGTCAGGGTTGTGCTCCAGCGGGCAGTTGTCACAGTGGTCACCGACTCCATCCCGGTCGGTGTCTCTCTGGTCAGTGTTGTACACATATGGACAGTTGTCCTTCTCGTTCAGAATGCCTGGAGAAATCAATTCCAGTGTCACACCAATGATTCCTTACAGTGGTTCGTGAGTGCCAGGTTATGACAGATTCATGACGTGTGACTCACCATCTCCGTCGATGTCTATGGCACACGCATCACCCTCGCCATTGTTGTCGGTGTCGGTCTGTTCTGGATTACTGTCGTACGGGCAGTTATCGCATCGGTCGCCAACTTGATCTTGGTCCTGGTCGTACTGTCTTGGGTTGAAGATGAACGGGCAATTGTCCTGGTTCAAAACAATAAGATCCAGCCAAGTCAGAGACGAAAACAGAAAGATAGAAAAACATCTGGATCCGTTCTCTACCTCCCCGCCAATTTTATAAATACATCCGCAAAGCACTAAAATGCATGTCTTAAGTGATATGCCATGGACGGGACACAGCTGTCAAATTGTTTGGCTGAATTATGGATGTTAAACCAAGGGATCCAGCGAGGCTGGACGGAAGCCAGCACAAAACGCTTTGTTTATTTGCTACTGGCAAAGTTTCTTTCTCTCTTTTGTTCACTCTGTTCTTTCTTTTCTAGTCAGTAACATGCTATCTCTAAATGCTTTTGCAGAAGAAGAGTGTGTTTACGACTTACCCCGTCATCAGGGATCCCATCATTGTCATCATCACTGTCACAAGCATCTCCAGTTCCATCTTTGTCATAGTCTTCTTGCCCAGAGTTGGGAAGGTCAGGACAGTTGTCCTAAAATAGGAGATGTTTTGATGAAGATTTTATAACCTTGTTGTATAACGGGATATGGTAAGGAAATGGCCTCGTACCTTCTTGCAGTGGTAGGTGGCGTTTTCCACACAGAGGAGGTCCGTGTTTGGCCAGCCGTCCAGGTCTGGGTCTTCTCCGCAGATGTAACCGTTCCCAGCATAGCCTGGTTTACATTCGCAGCGGTACATGATGTCGGAGAAGATTCCCAGGTAGATGCAGTTGGCATTCTTATTACAGTCATGGCTGCTGTCCTCACATGGGTTTCTAGGTGTGCAGACCTGTAAGAAAGTCGAGTTTATGGAGGTTAGCACTTCATGAAACAAATAAGAACGGTCCCTTCCCATTGTTGACATTGTTCTAGACTGCTCTAACCTGTTTATTGGCAATGGCTTGCTCTGTTCCCCGGCCGAAGGGCTGTTGTCCGGAGTAGCGTGGTGGGCAGGGCAGGCAGTTGTAGCCCGGTTCTGTGTTCTCACACTGATGGACTCCATTGAGCACAAAACAGGCATCGGGAACTTCTTTGCACTGCAGATACCAAAGACTATTTAGAAACACCAGTATCTCCATTTAGAAGCGTCCAACTCATTAGCATGACGGTCTCACCTCATCGATGTCTTGACAGTGGACTCCATCCCCAGTGTATCCCACCGGACACTCGCCGCACTTCCAGGAGCCGTCGGGGAAGCTAGTGCATTTGGCGCTGGCGAAGCACGGGTTGGAGAGACATCCATCTGTTCATGAAAGTATGGAAGTCTGTTATTTTTGTGCTACAAGAATCTTTAGCTCGATCCTTAAAGGTGACATAGTATACCTCTTTTCACAAGATGTAATATAAATCTATGGCGTCCCCAGAATGTGTCTGTGAAATTTCAGCTCAAAATACCAGATCATTTATTATATCTTGTCAAATTTGCCCCTTTTTGGGTGAAGAAAAACGTGCCGTTTTTGTGTGCGTCTCTTTAAATGCAAATGAGCTGCCGTTTCCCGCCCCCATTCAGAAGAGGGCGGAGCCTTTTCACGAGCTTCGGATACTCTGGCAATAACAAAACAGGCCAATCTCACTCATCCAGAATCTCAGAAACAACTCATTGATTCACCTCATCGACTTGCATGTACCATCACGTTAAACTTTTACACAAGTGTCCACAGTTCCTGAGGTGTTTATAAGACAGCGGTGACATGTTCTGGTCAATAGTGTTCAGTGCTCGTCTGTGCTCGACCACAGAACAGTTTCAGGCTTTGCTGGATCTTCTCCAGTGCATTAGAACTGGTCTCTGTTGGCACTCGCCGAACCCAATGTCGCAGGTGTGTGTAAACGTGCAGATTAAGGGACGGTAATATTATAATAAGATCCCCTTCCTACGTCAGAAGGGGAACGCAAAAATCGAATCGGTTTACCTTTTTGAAATTCTTGCAGAGAAAGGCTTACCAAAATAAAGTTACTGGGTTGCGCTTTCCACGTTTTCTGGGTTGGTAGATGCACAGAGGACCCGATTATAGCACTTAAACACGGAAAAAGTCAGATTTTTATGATATGTCCCCTTTAACAATGAAGAATGTCTCACCAACAGGACACGACTGAGAGTTGCACAACCGGCTTCCTTTGGAGTCACCCAGGCATTCTTTTCCACCGTGTTTGGGAGCGGGGCTGTTGCACAAACGGTGTCTGCGCTGAAGTCCTCCACCACACGTGACGGAGCAAGAGTCCCATGGAGACCAGGGTCCCCAACCTCCATTCACTGAGACACAGAGAAATTGGGGATTTCAGTCAATTGGGATTTCAGGTTCAATGCTGTAAATACTCCAGCAGTCATAAGGCAGACACTCACCTGGGCACGACGGCTTCTGGCATGGTTCGGTCTGGCGACCATCTCCCTCGCAGTCTTTGCCCCCCATCTGAGGCGTTGGGGAGTTGCACAGCCGGATGCGAGTGATGACACCCTCGCCACACGTCACGGAGCAAGAAGACCAGGGAGACCAGTGGCTCCAGCCCCCATTCTGCTTGACTGCATGAAAACAGCAATAAGCGTTAAACATATGCATGTAACCGGTCCTAATTGACCCGTTCCGAGTTTATTTTTCTTACAGGATTAACAATTATATGCTTTTGAAACCTGAAATGTCCCCAAACACTCAGTAAGTCAGTGTGTCTGAATCATGACCGAATATAACAAAAGGTGAAATGAAACTAGACTGATAAACTTTGAGTAACAAAGTGAAGTAAATCAAGAAATTTCTTCTACCTAGTAACAGAAGGGTTTGCTGGATTATACATATGAAGAACCAATCAATGCGTTGATTAGGATACGACCCAGCCTAAACTCAAGTCAGGTGCGTAGGGGAAAAATCTACCACAACGCACAGCTCTTACTGGCTTACGTTACATGCATGATAGTCTGAATATGATCAGTGACGGATGCCAGGTCAGCGTATCGTTCAACTCACATCGTTTGTCGCATTCTTGCGTGTAACAGTCTCTCGTCTGGACGGACGTGCCATCACAGTTGCTGTTGATTCGGTCACAAGAGCGTCCACGCTGCTGAATGCCTCTTCCACAGGTCACCGAACAATGGGTCCATTCGGACCAGGGCGACCAGCCATCTTCTGCACCCGCATCACTCGCTGGAGGAAGAGAATCAGAGAACAGGGACACCAAATGAGTTCAACGAGCCCCAAACACTGTTGTGTGCAAATGAACGGCCAAACCACATTAAGAGTTCCTGTTAGAGCGGTGTCGTGTTAGCGGCCGCTAAGTTAATCACTAATGATCTTTGCAATGGAAGTGAATCAATCAAAACTAAATTTATCTGGACAATAACTTTATTCTAGAGCTGCTGTAAAGCCTAAACACTCTCTGTTACTGTAATCTCCTGTTATCACTGTAAAGCTGCTGTGAAACTCTAGATTGTTAAAAGCACTATATAAATCAAGGTGACTTGACTTCAAAGATCAGATGAACATAATGAATGTTGAGATTTCACAGCTGGACTCACGTGTTCCACAGCGCGGGCAACATTCGCCATCCGGGACCGTGGCGTTGGCGCAGGGCATGAGCGGGCAGGAGATTTCACGACACACAGTGGCCGAGTTCTGTGAAATATTTGAAGCAAGTTTAATGGGACGATCCCAACAGCTGCACATAATGGATGAGAAATAAACGACTCTCTGCTGGCTTTCGGTTTGCCAATAAAGAGTGACCCCTGGAAAATCTTGTGGTGATATAAACTCTGAGCGGGCAGCAGGGGAACACATCTGACCGGACTTACAAAGTGTTTTTATGTGGCCAACATGAGGGTGGAGATTGAGAATACAGAGTGAGTCAGCGGCCACAACCGCACACACACTAACACACACACACACACACACACACACACACAATGGTCTCACCGGAAACCAGAGTCAGCGGGTATCACTCACCAATTAAAACATTCCTGAATCTCTGCCATTTAGATGCATGTGAAACACAGAACAGATCGAGAGAGCAAGACTTCCAGCACCTGTTTCCATTCTCCCAACACTTTCCACCACGGCTTTTGACTTAGTTAACCGTCCTTGGTCAAATCTGGTCTGCCCACATAAAGGAGTAGTTCACTTTCAAATGAAAATTACCTCATGATTTACTCTCCCTCAAGCCATCCTAGGTGTGTATGACTTTCTTCTTTCAGACGAATACAATCAGAGTTATATTAAAAAATATCCTGGCTCTTCCAAGCTTTATAATGGCAGTGAATTGCTGTTTCTGTTTTGAAGTGCATCTATCCATCATAAAAGTGCATCTATCCATCATAAAAGTGCATCTATCCATCATAAAAGTGCATCTGTCCATAATAAAAGTGCATCTATCCATCATAAAAGTGCATCTGTCCATCATAAAAGTGCATCTGTCCATCATAAAAGTGCATCTGTCCATCATAAAAGTGCATCTATCCATCATAAAAGTGCATCTGTCCATCATAAAAGTGCATCTGTCCATCATAAAAGTGCATCTGTCCATCATAAAAGTGCATCTGTCCATCATAAAAGTGCATCTGTCCATCATAAAAGTGCATCTATCCATCATAAAAGTGCATCTGTCCATCATAAAAGTGCATCTATCCAAAAGTGCATCTGTCCATCATAAAAGTGCATCTATTCATCATAAAAGTGCATCTGTCCATCATAAAAGTGGATCTATCCATCATAAAAGTGCATGTATCCATCATAAAAGTGCATCTGTCCATCATAAAAGTGCATCTATCCATCATAAAAGTGCATCTGTCCATCATAAAAGTGCATCTGTCCATCATAAAAGTGCATCTGTCCATCATAAAAGTGCATCTATCCATCATAAAAGTGCATCTGTCCATCATAAAAGTGCATCTGTCCATCATAAAAGTGCATCTGTCCATCATAAAAGTGCATCTGTCCATCATAAAAGTGCATCTGTCCATCATAAAAGTGCATCTATCCATCATAAAAGTGCATCTGTCCATCATAAAAGTGCATCTATCCAAAAGTGCATCTGTCCATCATAAAAGTGCATCTGTCCATCATAAAAGTGCATCTATCCATCATAAAAGTGAATCTATCCATCATAAAAGTGCATCTGTCCATCATAAAAGTGCATCTATCCATGATAAAAGTGCATCTGTCCATCATAAAAGTGCATCTATCCATCATAAAAGTGCATCTGTCCATCATAAAAGTGCATCTGTCCATCATAAAAGTGCATCTATCCATCATAAAAGTGAATCTATCCATCATAAAAGTGCATCTGTCCATCATAAAAGTGCATCTATCCATGATAAAAGTGCATCTGTCCATCATAAAAGTGCATCTATCCATCATAAAGTGCATCTATCCATCATAAAAGTGCATCTGTCCATCATAAAAGTGCATCTATCCAAAAGTGCATCTATCCATCATAAAAGTTCATCCATCCATCATAAAAGTGCATCTATCCATCATAAAAGTGCATCTGTCCATCATAAAAGTGCATCTGTCCATCATAAAAGTGCATCTATCATAAAAGTGCATCTGTCCATCATAAAAGTGCATCTATCCATCATAAAAGTGCATCTGTCCATCATAAAAGTGCATCTGTCCATCATAAAAGTGCATCTATCCATCATAAAAGTGAATCTATCCATCATAAAAGTGCATCTGTCCATCATAAAAGTGCATCTATCATAAAAGTGCATCTGTCCATCATAAAAGTGCATCTATCCATCATAAAAGTGCATCTGTCCATCATAAAAGTGCATCTGTCCATCATAAAAGTGCATCTATCCATCATAAAAGTGAATCTATCCATCATAAAAGTGCATCTGTCCATCATAAAAGTGCATCTGTCCATCATAAAAGTGCATCTGTCCATCATAAAAGTGCATCTATCCATCATAAAAGTGCATCTGTCCATCATAAAAGTGCATCTATCCAAAAGTGCATCTGTCCATCATAAAAGTGCATCTGTCCATCATAAAAGTGCATCTATCCATCATAAAAGTGAATCTATCCATCATAAAAGTGCATCTGTCCATCATAAAAGTGCATCTATCCATGATAAAAGTGCATCTGTCCATCATAAAAGTGCATCTATCCATCATAAAAGTGCATCTGTCCATCATAAAAGTGCATCTGTCCATCATAAAAGTGCATCTATCCATCATAAAAGTGAATCTATCCATCATAAAAGTGCATCTGTCCATCATAAAAGTGCATCTATCCATGATAAAAGTGCATCTGTCCATCATAAAAGTGCATCTATCCATCATAAAGTGCATCTATCCATCATAAAAGTGCATCTGTCCATCATAAAAGTGCATCTATCCAAAAGTGCATCTATCCATCATAAAAGTTCATCCATCCATCATAAAAGTGCATCTATCCATCATAAAAGTGCATCTGTCCATCATAAAAGTGCATCTGTCCATCATAAAAGTGCATCTATCATAAAAGTGCATCTGTCCATCATAAAAGTGCATCTATCCATCATAAAAGTGCATCTGTCCATCATAAAAGTGCATCTGTCCATCATAAAAGTGCATCTATCCATCATAAAAGTGAATCTATCCATCATAAAAGTGCATCTGTCCATCATAAAAGTGCATCTATCCAAAAGTGCATCTATCCATCATAAAAGTTCATCTGTCCATCATAAAAGTTCATCTGTCCATCATAAAAGTGCATCTATCCATCATAAAAGTGCATCTATCCATCATAAAAGTGCATCTATCCATCATAAAAGTGCATCTATCCATCATAAAAGTGCATCTATCCATCATAAAAGTGCATCTTCACTGCCATTAAAAGCTTGGAAGAGCCAGGATATTTTTTAATATAACTCTGATTGTATTCGTCTGAAAGAAGAATGTACACACCTAGTGCATGATTTACTCATTTGAGGGTTAGTAAATCATGGGATAATTTTCATTTTTGGGTGAACTATCCTTTTAACCGTCCTTGCTCAAATCTGGTCTGCCCAGTAAACCAGGACTAACCAGTATAAAGAGATGAAGAAGTGAAAAGCACAGTTGAAGAGTGAGAAGACCTGTACCTGACATGTGCAGTGTGTGCAGCTGTCCACCGTCCACTCGCTTTTGTCTCCGTACACAATGCCGTTGTGCAGACAAACGCCTTTGTGGATTTGAATCTGGTTCATTATTAAGTTGTTGTCTGCTGTCTGAATGGCAGGAAAGAGCACAGAGAAACTGCCATTAGAAAGGACTCATTTCAAAGTGACTTGAGGATGACTTGTATCTGGCATTACAAGAGAAACAGGGTGGAGAGACTCGTGTGTAAACGCCGACAGCTGGTTTTGATCCTCACCACTTGGCGGAGCTCGTTCGACAACTGCTTCACCACCACACCGAGTCCCTTGAGCTCCGTGAACATGCTGGTCAGATCGTCGCAGGAGAAGCCGCAGATGTCCTGCAGGTCTGAAGGGGAAAGGATTCTGACGTTAAAGCCATGAGTCCATGCCGAAACATCACATCACAAACGCATGAGGATCATCTGACCTTTAGACTTGTGTCCCGTGTAGTCGGTGCGGATGGCCGCGCTCGATCCGTTCACCGAGTTCTCAAAGCTCATGACATCTGTGATGAAGGTAGCTGTCAAAATAGGAATTGAGTTGAGCTTTAATACAATATTCATATTTTTATTTTAGTGCTGGGCAACGATTAATTGCATCCAAAATAAAAGTTTGTTTACATAATATATGTGTATGTGTGTAATTATTTTGTACACACATGCATGTATATAATTAAGAAAATTTTGATACTTATATAATATAAATTATGCATGCATATGTATAGACACATGCAATTATGTATGTGTGTACATATGTGTGTATTTATGTATACTATATAATTATACACAGTACAAACACACATATATTATGTAATCACAAGCTTTTATTTTGGATGCGATTAATAATTGCCTATTTTTATTCATTTAAATGTAGGCATTTATTACATTTTATAAGTTCTTGATTTCCCTGGGAATCGAACCCATGACCTACTATCGCCATATTTGAACTATAGGAAAGTCAAATTTGACATTTTTCCAATATTTAATCAAATAAACAGTGTTTTTATAGCACTTATCAATCTCATTTGATATCATTCACAAAGTTGAGCCAAGTAAAGACTTACAGCTCCCGCATCCTCTATTGCGTAAAATCGCGTCCAGCGTCGTTCCGAAAACAAACCGCACATTCTGGAGAACTCCCTGAGGAAATGGGATAAAGGTCAAAAAGTAGTAACACTTTATTTCGATGGTCCACTTTAGACATTAAATAACTTTGCAACTACATGTCAAACTCTCATTAAGAGTAGACTATGCTTAATATTTGCTAACTCTTAATTTTGATGGTGAAAGACTATAAGTAGCTTGGGAACTACAAGTCAACTTATTCTACTCGAACCCTAACACCTAACAGTCTACTAACAGTCTACTACTAGCCTACTACTACTTATAATAATACATTTTATTTGTAATGCGCCTTCCTCAAACTCTAAGCGCTACCGCATGTACAGAACAAAATACTCTATATGAGAGTATTACTCTATAAATACTAATACTCTAATGAGAGTTAGTTGACACGTAGTTACTAATAGTTAGTAGAATGTCTAAAGTGGACTATCGAAACAAAGTGGAACCGAGAAAAACCCTCCAACAGTTATTACACGAAACATTCAGAAAGCGACTGTAAAACAAAACCATTTGCTTTCGCGCGTCTTTACGCGTCTCCAAACTCCTCATTAGAGGAAGAAAATACGCATTAGATGGAAATATAATAACTTAACAATAACCATGCGGCTCTGATGGATCAAAACCCAAGCGTTTCTCACCATGAAGCGGTCTGATTTGGCGGCGCCTTTCGCGATCCTCAGGCTGGCGATGTCCGCGCTCTCCTGGCTCAGAATCTGCTGGATCGGAACATCGAGTTCTTGCGTGTTGATTTCCTCGCAACCCACATAAACCTGAGCCCGGTCCTCCTGCACGAACACCGTGATGTTCCTCCAGTGCCCGTTCGCAACACTCACGTCCTCGATGGAAACCACATGCTGTCCGCTCGCGGTCCGGTACACCAGATCCACCGTGTCGGCTTTCCCGTTGGATATGATCTCAAACACGGACCCGGTTCCGTCGGTCCTCTCCACGGAGACCAGGCTTCCCCGTGTGCGCTTGGCTTGCTTGAGGTTCGCGGTGAAGATGAAGCCTCTCTCGCTCTGGATGGAGTAGATCAGGTCCCGGAAGGAGAGCTCGGGCACGGAGGGGATCAGGTTTGGGTTCAGGATCTTGTACGCGGGACTGTTTGGATCGGGTCCCTTCACTAAACTCACCCCGTGATGCTTCTTATGCAGATTAGAGAGCTCGAACAGGTCGAACACGGAATCATCGTCCGGCATTTCTGCGGATTCGGAGACACGTGAGCGCGCACGCATATAAAACAAGTCAGTCACATTTATTAATATAGCGCTCTGAGTGTTTCAGAGCAGCTTTACAGAGATAACAGGAAAATAATGCAACAAAGTTTGTGTCTAGAAGAGAATAGCGTCACAGTCCAGCTTAAGTAAGTTCAGTGATGGCTCATTTTTGTTGTAAAAAAGTTATTAATTTAGTTCATTTATATATATAGCGGCTCTGGAGAAACCGTGATGTCATCGTCCAGCTCAGTTCTCATATAATGCTGTCAATACAGGAGATCAATAATATTGTTGAATATTAAGTATTGGTGGTCTATATGACACACATGGTCATAACACACACCACAGAAGCGAATAAAGAGTGTGTTCTCACCTGCATGTCTGCTCTCGGAACTCCACAATAAGAGACACAGAACGAGTCCTCTCAGAGTCATGATTCCTCTGATGCTGGAGATTAAACACTCCTGTAGAGAGACACACTCTAATGATACAGAAACACAGTCTCTCTGACTGTGTGTGTGTGTGTGT